ATTCGGCCACTAAGATCTTAATTTATGCATTGATTGGTTCTGCCTTCGGTTAAAGTGGAAATGTGAATACAAAAAGTATATGTAACGTATACTTTCCACCCAAAAAGCATGCAATCCCTCTCTCACTTTGGAATTGGGATTCCAGCACTTGATTTTATCCTTCAGCATGTTGTATAAAAAAATAGTATAAAAAAATGATACAAAAAAATTGTTTTAAAATTATTTTTCAATAAATTTTGTATATTTTTCTGTTTCATTTATTTTTTTAAACACTTTTAGATTCACTTACTATATTTTACTTTTATTTCTATTTACTCTAATCTATTGTTTTTCTAATAATAGTTTCATTGAGTTTGGTCAAATTAATTTTTAATTATATTTTTTTGTGAATTTTTAGTTATTAAAGTTAATTTATAGTTTTTTATCACACATATTGTTTCAGCTTTCTTTTTTGACAATTCTCTTTTGAAATGGAAACTATAATTATTTACATACTTTAATAATTTATATAATTTGGACTATGTTGTTGGCCGAAACTACTTTATTTTAATTTTAATTTAACTTTTTTGTTATTTTTTTGCTAAAACTCATAGAAGTTTATTATTTACATGGAAGGGATGAAGGGAACTGGCTAGAAAGGATGAGAGAAGAGCGAGGTATAGGATCATCTTGGTGGAAAGACATCTGCAAATTAAACACAAACTTAGGAATTAAAGAGGGATGGCTGAATCAAATTTCAAGTTGAATTTGGGGGATGGGAAGTCCATTAAATTCTGGAAAGATGTGTGTGTGAGGGGGGAGTCATTAGCTAATGCTTTTCCTAGACTTTTTTCACTAGCCACAGGAAAAAACTGCAGCATACAAGATATGGGACAATGGACAGAAGGGTGCTGGAGCTGGAGATTACAGTGGAGAAGAACACTTCGAGCTTGGGAAGAGGACTCACTACAAAAATTGCTTGAGGCCATAAAGGACACAAAGCTGGTGCAAAATGCCGAAGACACATGGAGCTGGAAACTAGCAGATGGGGGAAAATACACTACAAGGTCGACATATGAGTGGCTTGCAAACAAGGATGAAAACAAAAAGCTCGATTATAAAAAGCTGTGGGGTGAACAAGTACCATCAAAAGTGATTGCTTTTTCATGGCAAATGCTTTTAAATAGAATCCCTACAAAGGTCAATTTGGCAACACGTGGAATTTTACATGACACTCAAAATATCATGTGTTATTGGTGCGATTCATGCCACATGAACATACAGATCACCTATTTCTATCTTGCAAAGTTTCTTACAAGCTATGGACTAGATGCATAAATTGGTGGGGGCTATGTTATGTCCTCGGAAACACATGTATGCAGGTCTTCCACCAACATAGATGGCTAAAGGGTTCAAAAAATCTGAAAAAGGGATGGAACATGATGTGGTATGCCATAGTATGGTCAACGTGGTTGAGTAGAAATGAAACCGCTTTCCAACAAAAGGAGCTCAATGAGGATAAGTTGTTCGAATCCATACAAACTTGCTCATTTCACTGGGTTAGAACTCTCTTGAATCTAGAACACATTTATTTTATAGATTGGATTTTTGATCCAGTGAGATGTTTAATTACCAAGAAATAGAGGACAGGTGAGAAGATAGTTCCCAATTCTTTGGCTAGGGTGGCTTTTGTTTTTCTGCTTTTAGACCCCAAGGCTAGTATTTTGATGATCTTATAGATGTATATGGGTTGAGTACCCCTTGTACTCATTTAATATAATTCTTTTGCTAAAAAAAAAAAAATAGACTTTTGAAATATTTTATAAACTTTATAGACTACCTAAAATGAAAATTAACTTTTTATACGAAAATAAAATTAAACTAATAGTTAATAAACTAATCATTGAATTAAGCCCTTCATTTTTCACCAACTTCTACAAATATTACTGTTCTTCAGGGGACAATCCGACAATGTAAATAAAATATTCTCAAATTAGAAAGTTCAATTCAAATCATGCAATTCAATTTGTCTTTAATTCAAAGCATTTCTAGGAGCTTGCTGCTCTGTTCAAGTATCAGCTATGCCTAGAATGGTATTTGTGGCTTGATGCTTGTAGCTAAGGATTTATTTATTTTGTATAGATGTCTAACATTCTACTGTTTCTATAAGCATGTAATATGCCTACAAGTGAGCACACAAGAAATTAATACAAGTTGAAACCCAAAAGTGATCCTGATTAACCCATCACTCCCTTAACGCTAAATTTTGTTTTAGTAAATAAATTCATGTACTGGAAGGGTACCATGGAAACTAAGATTGGTGATGTTTGATTTGGTAAATTGGTTGAGGCAATTTCCCAGCATTGTTTTGAGCTTTAGTAAAGTGTATTTTTTTTTTCTTTACCAGGAAAACCAAATGAAAAATATATTACTAGTGAGTGTAAGGAATACTCCAAAATAAAATACAACCTGAAAACAAAAGTTCAACTGCAGACACTTTACAAGCGCAAAACGTATCACAATTTAGCACATAAAACTGAACAAATTAATAAAATAAATTCATCCCATATCTCGTTTCAGCATCTTGTAATTTTCAAATTCTTGCAATGTTGA